ATCCAACCTGATCCTTTTCCTCCTGGACCACCGAGCCAGGCCACCTACAAAATCTCTGATTTTGGTAACTTTCTCCAGAGGTCCTTTTTCAGTACTTGAGTTCCTCAGGACTCTTTGGGGATTGTGAGCTCCTTGGAGAGGCTGATCGTTTCCAACTTCCTTACAGTGAGGCTGCAGAAGATGCTCCCTGGCCCAGATCAGCTCTGAGACACATTATTAGCACTGCAGCAGCAGATCCCATTTGCATTGAGGTCTTTTACATGAATGAACAAACAACCTTTCATCCTTGCAGTGACTTATAGCCCCCCTCCCCGGGAAACCTCACCTCTAGGACTGCTTTCTCAACACATCTCCCTGTGTCTGGGGTTACAGGAGACAAACACTGGTGTTCCAGGAATGTGCTACACCTGTAGCAGCATCACATGGAATCAGAGAATGAGAGAATGGGAGTGGGAGGATCTGGGGTACAAGTGTGTTTGGAGTCAGGTAGAAAGAGAACCAGCTTGTCAGTGAAGGTTTCTCACCCAAGACCTTTCTCCTTTCAAAGCCAGAGTGGAAAATGCTCATTGTCTCATGGATCCAGCCACACTCCTAGCACGGGCTGCAGGCTGGATAACAAAGGTCCCAAGTCAAAAGGAGAGCAGTCATATTCTGAGCTCCTTTTCTTTTAAAAGCTCTTGTGTTCCTCCAGAAGGGGCACCTGTAGATTCCTCTTGGATGAGAAAAATTTGTTCTTGATACCTGGAGACTTCTGCTCCAGGGAAGCCTGCTCCACTACTCCCATCCCCAATAGTAACACCTTTTCTTCTTCTTTACCTGTCTAGCTGATACGTTTAAATTTGTCCAAAAACATGCAAACAGTGGGGACCCTCAAAAATAATACCAATGTAACAAAAGAGGAGATCATGGCTAGTCAGGCTGTCAATGGAGACTATGACGGCAGCGGTTGGGACCGCGGCCATTTGAACCCCAGTGGCCAACACGAAAATGAGACAATCAGGAATGCGACCTTCACCCTCACCAACGCAGTGCCCATGAACCCAACACTCAACCGAGGCCAGTGGAGAATCTACGAGCAGCAAACGATGTACAATAAAGCTGAGAACTGTTCAACCACTCACGTCATTGTGGGGGCTGTGCCTGGGAACTCCTCCATCAACCAGGACAGGGTGAATATACCCAACTACATCTGGGCCGCTGCCTGCTGTGAGACCAACAACAACAACATGAGTGCTTGGGGAGCCTTTGCCGACAACAACCAGAACCAGTTGCGGAACATGACTCTGGGGCAGCTGGAGATTGAACTGGCCAACTTGTATGGAGTGCAAAATGTTTCTCTCTTTCATGGGGGCTGTCCCCGTACATAAGCCTCATCCCTGATGGAAAAGGCTCGGTTGCTTTTCCCACATGTCACAGAATCACACAGTGCTTGGAGTTGGAATGGACCTCAAGGATCATCCAGTTCCAAACCTCCCTGCAAAACTGCAGGGACACTTTCCACTAGACCAGGTTGCTCACAGCCATGTCCAACCTGGCCTTCAGCACTTCCAGGGATGGGGCAGACAGAGCTTCTCTGGGCAACCTTTACCAGGGCCTCAACACTCTCACAGGGAAGAATTTCTCCCTGTCTGTAGTCTGACCCTGCCCTCTCCCAGTTTAAAGCCATTCCACCTTCTCCTATGTTTCCAGCTCTGTCTCTCAGGGCAACTCCTCCTCCTGCTGTGATAAAAGAGAGAAAGAGGTGGGCAGAGCCTGCAGCTGGTTTGCTTTGCTGCCCATCCTGGCAGAGAACTCTTAGGGATGAGTCCTTGTCCTGGTACTCTGCAGGGAACAGCTGGATAAGAGCCCATGGACAAGGAAATCAGAGCTTTTCACTGAGACCAGAAGGGCCTTGTTTGCCTTTTGCTCCATGCCCAGATACAGGTCTCAGTTCCTTCCTCTCCTCATTAGCTGTCCCTGAGAGTGTGCTGCTGGCTTGTCCCTCACCTCCTTAGGAAGGCTGTGGGACTAGGGTGGCTCACGTTGCCCACCTCAGGTGTTGTGGAGTCTCCATGTCTGGAGAGGCTCAAACCCCAAGTGGACATGATTGTGGACAACCTGCTCTAGCTGACCCTGCTTGAGCAGGAGTCTGGACTAGGAGATCTTGAGAGGTCCCCCCAAACCTCAGCAGTTCAGTGATTCTGTGATCCTGGGATGAGCTTTTGTTTGCTTGCTTTTAAAACCTGCAAATTGTAGAAGCTATAAAGATAGGCAGGCTCAGGCATCAGATATAGAGGAAGCTTTGACCAATCAGAGATAAATTTCTGCAATAAACTGCTTGGATAATTTCATTCTCTGCTCTGCTTCTGAAACCTT